TTGTGGGCGGCGGGGTCGCTGGAACGATGAAGGCAGCATCACAAGTACAGGTATGTATAGTAGTATATTATTGTCTATGTCCACTCTAGAACAGTAGAACCCGATCATGGGCTCGGGTACCCGTTCAACCAACCAAAAAAAGAAGCAGACTTGGGCTTGGACTTTTGGCTTACGTGTTGGCCCAGCCCATAACAAACTTGAGGCCTGGGCTCGGGCTTCAAATCTTGGGCCCATTATGCGGGCCAGGTTTGAGCTTAGAAAATTCTCATAATATAGTGCATCGGCCCAGCCCGCGTTTTGATGAGGTCTACTCTGCTCGCTCTGCTTTGTTCTTTGGTTTCTCCATATTCTTTGTTTGTTGGATAATATTAAGAGGGAATTTACTTAAATACCATTAAAACATAATGACTTTTCTTAAATATCATCACATGTGTTTTTTTCTCAATGTAGCACTTTTAGTCATTATCTATTGGTCATGATTCAAGTAAATGTTCGCTATCGCTGAACATTATTAAGTGTTATTTCGGGAATAAAGTTTAAGTGCTATTTAGGGAAATGACTTAAATTTTAGTGCTACTTAGTGCAAATATTTCTAATATTAACGGGTTGCGGGCCCCACACTTTGCCAGCTCATCGTGGGCAGTTTCATCGCCGACGGCAAGAAGCCAAAGTACAAGCCCACCTCATCGACGCCGCCGCCGCCGCAGCCATCGAACGCGGCAAACTTCGGCGCCCCCCAAGCGGCCGTTGCCGCAGAGGCCGCCAGCCAGTCCGAGGAGGCGTCGAGCGCTTCGTCCGACGAGAACGGAGGGGGGCCCACGTCATACGGCAACACAGGCCACCACCAGCAGCAGCAGCACCCGATCCCGAGCATGCCGATATACGGGAACATGGGGTGGCCGAATTCGTCGTCGTTCAAGATGCACCATCACCATCCTCATCATCACCCTTAATTGCACTGAGTAGCTTTTAGATTGATTTGATTTGATTCTCTCCTGCAGATCTCTGGGATAGGCTAACAGGCGTTTCTGTTCCTTTGATGTTTGTTTGCGTTTTAGTAGTTTGAGAATGGTTCATTATTCAGTAATATTTTTTATTTGTATGTGATTGCCCGGCATTGAATTCTTCTTTGTAATATTATTATTATTATTATTATTATTATTATTATTATTATTATTATTATTATTATTATTATTATTATTATTATTATTATTTCTAGAATGAAAATGTATCTCAATCGGGGCGTTAATCTCTTAAAATTTAAATAAGAGTTGTCATGTGAATTCACAAATGCTCTTTTAACGCAAGCCTAAGTTATCTTTGAATGACCTGAGGCTTCTATAATGTTTCGTTCGTAAAATTGATGGTTTCTATCTCTTGATTCTCTTTATTTTCCTTTATCTTTCATCTTTTTATTGTGCTTGGACAAAAGATTAGGCCCGTAGTTTGGGCGTTTGACCAAAAAAGGCCGTTTATATGCATCTGCATATGTGAATAAGATACGAGATCTAAGTAATCCTTTTTTAATTATGATTTGTGTGTCTATATCTTCTTTTGACACTTTTTTTAATGTAAAATTTTACTAAATGTTGTGTGATTGTTATCACTTATCAATATAAGGGAGGATGGGGTTGGATGGGTGCGAGGGGCAAGGCGATTTAAGAAGAGTATGAACTATTAATTTTACAAAGGGAACAACATAAATGCTCTAAAATCCCAATATCATTTAAGGTCACTTTTGGCTTGGGTCAAAAGATCCTTGCTAATGTCAATCATAACAATGTATTATCACCAGAGTGTATCTAGTTAGAATCTGGCAATCCCGTCAAAACCCAAAAATCTTCCATCTTTTTATCGGGCTTGGACAAAAGATTAGGCCCGTAGTTCGGGCTTTTGACCAAAACATGTCGTTTATATGCATTTGAATATGTGATTAAGATACGAGGTCTAATTAATCCTTTTCTTAATTATGATTTGTGTGCATATATTTTTTCTAAATCCGATTTTTTGTAACGTTTTAATAAATTTATTGTAGCTGTTATCAACATACTACCTCCGTCCCGCTATATTCGTCCACTTTTGACTTTTGAAACTGTTCAATGCATTTTGACTCATCAAATTCTTTCAATGTGTAAGCCTAAATATAGTCATGTGTGATCTTGTTTGATTTGTCTTAACATATAGATTATCACGGAGTAATATATAATTTCTATAATTTTTTAATATACAAATTACAAGATAAAATGGATTAAAAAAGTGTATTGGATGGTGTGTAAAAATGAAAGTAGACAAATACTCTGGGACGGAAGGAGTATATTTTTCTCATCCTATATATATATGTAAAAGAGGGTTTCAAAGTTGTGGTGACGACACGTGTCATGCCACACGTGCATACTAATGACACGTGTCCCGCCACGCGTATATCACATGACACATGTACGTCCATCCATGCATGTGAGTTAATTTTGTATTAAATAATTCGTATTTTTATTTTTTATAAACTCTTCACTTTCCAACAATAAAAAACTATTATTTTTATTAACTTTTTATAAACTCTTCACTTTCTGACTATGTTAAAACCAATTTATTGTTTTGACGTATCTTAAAAATATATGCACGATTATTTTATAATTTTAGAAAACTTATGTATATAATTTATTGATTAAAAAGATGTTGCTTATAATTTTTAAAATTATCCATCATATCAAAAAAAACTAATTACATATAAATTTTATCACACGTGCATCTTTATTAAATTCATAACATATTTTAGTTGTTTTTCTTATTACATTACTTATTTTACTATATTTTTTTCAGCAAACTAAACAAAGTAAAAATTTAATTGAAGGATTACATGTGGCACATACAAATATGCATTATCTAATGATGTGACATTCCTTAATTGATCTATTCGAGATTTTTATATTAATTTTTATTAATTAAAACAATTTTCATTATTATTTTATTTGATGACCATTAATTTTGCATAAAATGTTTATGTCATGGAGGCACTACACCTCCCCACATGTCATGTGGCACATGTATATATTTATTATTATTAAATTTTTATAAAAACTTCACTTTCTTACATTAAATAACTTATATTAAATTTTTATAAATCCTTCACTTTCTTACACTAAATAAGCATTACTGTTGAACAAAAAGAAAATTATTGTTATCAAATTTTCAAAATACCAGTAGTATTTTAATTTTTTTTATCAAATATAAATAATTATTAAATACAAATTTATTTCAAACTTTTTATCCTATTACATACTACAAATAAAAGAATCCACCATTTATTTATATTCTTATTTCTAACAAATAACTATATTTTATTAACTCTATATTTATTAACTATATATTTTACTTCAAAATGTTTTTTTTGGCAACATTATTAAATT